TTGAAAAAAAAAAATCAATTTCATAAATCGTCTCTATTCGTTTTGGTTAACCTCCTTGATTGTGCTTATATTAATTCCCCTTCTTCATCTTTTCCAAAACCCTTAACACTTCAACGCTTCGTCTTATGTGTTGGATTTAAATCATATTCTCCATCTCAATCTAATTGGTGCGTTGACTTTGGATACACCGGAGGCAAAACCTGTCTTGCTGTTAAAAGTAATTGGGGTGAGGATCTTCGTTTCTCGCTTCCTATGAGCGCCGCTGCTGATTCTTACGACCTTCGTTGTCTTTTCTGATTCCCACCCCACTAGAACATGGTAAAGTTTACACTTTTAAGTTACAATTTGTTGTTATTATATATTTCGATGTTTGTATTCAAAAATTTTCTATTTGGTCATATTTAATGATCCTCGAGATTACTCTGTTTTTTCATGGTTACTTGCTTATGTAGGTTACCACATCTAAGCTATTGCAAAACTTGAAAACTTTTCCACCATCTATAATCTTTTGTAAAGTTACGCATAATACCAATTAATCTCTTTCATTTTTTTTGCTAAAACAATGATGTGTTGCCGTATAATTCAATTCCGATAATCTTTCTTGGTAGTTGTAAAGGTAGAGGTTTGATCTTCTATGCTAAAACTAAAATATATGTGAACCTTTGTACAGTTTACGAATAATCTCATATTCGATTTTGAAAAACACAAACCATTTATTTTAGACTTGCAAAGATACACAATTCATAAATTTCCATCACAAGCAATTTGCAGATAAAGGTTGCATTTCAGTGATAGTATCCTTCGAATCAAGGTTGATACGTTTGTTTAGCATTAATTCAAAGGTGATGCAATTAAACAACTTCATACAAACAAAGGTCCTATTATATTGGTCCAATCATTTAAATATGCTATAAAGGTTGACGTATTTTCTTATTGCGCTACCTTCTTTCTCGCGTTTCTCTTGGTATAGGATTAGAAATTATAATTCGATCAATTAATATGTTTATTCTC